CCCCAAAACCCCAAAACCCCAAAACCCCTAAAGAAATCGTAACTATTATAATAAAAATTCAAAGAAATTAAAAATCTATAAATTATTGTGATTTTCTTTTTATTGTCATATTCGAATCGATAATGAATTAAAATTCGTCATTAAGTCTCCATATAGGTATCTTATTCATGTTTTAAAAGATTTTTTTGAGTAGTGAAATGCTCACTTTCAAGTCTGGGCATTTTAGAAGGTGATAGTTTGCTCTCTTTATAATCTTATAGTTTTTGATTTTAGAGATAAGATCCGGAGAATTATTTTATTATGAGTTGATCATTTATATTGGCTGGAGAGTCGTCATTTAGTGATGACCCATTCCTCCTATCTTATGAACTTTTCATTCTATAGGAGCTATTATCACCTTGAACAGATCTCATAACCGAAGGCAAATGCTCGAATTAATCTTACTTCCTTGTAAAAAACCAGACTAGTATAAATGAAACAGTATAGGCTGAGGATAAGAAAGCTAAGGCATCGTTAGAACTTTAGTAACCAATGGAGTCACTCAATGAACCTCCAACAATGGGTGCAATAATAGCCCCAAAAGCCACGAAACCATTAAATATTCCTGAAGCCTTGTCATTCAAAGTGTGATTCTCTTCTCTAATGCCTTCTTTTTATATTACACTATCTATTATTTCAGGTAATGATGCAATGAAAAAGAAGAGGCATCCTATACTCAATAGAAAGTAGCCTACCAAAAGAATCCATAATTACTATGGTATATCAAATATATCTGAAGGTCCAGTCAAAAATAAAGAAAGACTACAAATCACAAATGAAATCAAAATAGATACTCTCTTGTCATACCTTACAACCACTTTAGAAACAAAGTAGAATCCGATTACATAAACAAAAAATGGGATTGCAAATATAAAGCCAATATAAGCCTCACTTAAGGTGTAGTAATTTTTTAGTTGAACAGATAGAATTGAGTTTAAAAAATCTATAAGGATATTGACCATTGAACAGCCAATCAAAGTGATCAGACATCTAGGATTTTTTATAAACATCCCATATGTTACTTCTTTTTCAGAAAGCGAATCATTACCCTCAAATGGAATTGTAACTTTAATAGTTTCATTTTTGGGATTACTGTTATCTAAGATTCTTATTTTATTCATATATGAGTCATCACTATTATTTCGAATTATTTCGAATTTACTCCTTTCTTAAGTAACATCTTAACTTTATGAATATCCATCATTAAGCCTTCTTGGCAAAGTAAAGAATATCTGAATAACTCCCAAGAGAAGTAATCCTCCAAAGATAATGAAAGTATATAAATATCCAACTTCCTCATAAACTAAGGAACCTAATGTAGGTCCAATAGCTAAGCCCATTCCAGTTGCTGCTTCAGCCCATCCTAAATATTTTTCTTAATCCTCCGCAAATTCGATTGTAATCAAAGAAAAACCTAACAAAAATCAGAGGTAATTTAATAAAGATTATATACTCGATGTTTAACAGAAAGCGTCACCTATTCCTTAGAAAAATCTAGCAACCATACTACAAGCAAAGAATAACATTCTAAAATATCATTATAAAGCACTATTTGTTCTTACGGTAAGTCCTCACTTACTAATGATATTACACCGTTGAGGGAAGTTGCTATAGCCATTATTGTAATACCATAGATAATCGCATTTTTTCTTCCCATTTTTTGCAAGTAATGACCTACTATTGGAGAGAATATAAAAGCAGCAACTTCGAATATACTTGATAAGTTCAAGGAAATAAATATCTTACCTAATGATCAACCCAGTTAAGGTGAGGTTTATCCCATCATATTTCCCATCAACAAACACAGGTAGGAAGGATGCCACCATCAATGTTATAGAGGATGTTAGGGCAATTGCAAAAAGGAGTGTTAAAATAATCTTAGTCTTTCTTCTCTGGTCCTTGATAGATGTATTTGAAAGCATTGCAGTATCCTTTGATGTTCTTACCATCGAAAAGTTTCTAGACTCCATGCTGAGAGACCTCAAAGTCCTCACAATTTGTGTCTTTGACATGATGAGATAAGATTAATAAATATTTTAAATTTAAAGGAACTATTATTAACATATCCGCTATTATTATTTTACAGTTTGGTAATACTTTATAAATCTAGATGTTTATATCTATTATAGATAATCTTATTAAACTATCACACAGAATATTATTCATCAAGGGGTTTTGGGGTTTTGGGGTTTTGGGGTTTTGGGG